TGAGTAGGTATAGTAGTTAGCTTGTAGCAGGTGAGTTTGTATATGCCTTCTGGGGTAGTAAGTGCAGTTGCAATAGTGTCATATATCCAGATCTTTGTATTGAAGGGGGTGTTGGAGAGTGTGGAAATTCTGCTATATACGATTGTGGCCTATTCCATGTCATCAGGGGCATCAGTAGCCAGTAATTTGAAGTTGGTTTTGTTGACTTGGCTATATGATAATTTGGTTGTAGAAGCCTGATTGTTTGTAGGAGGTCTGGAGGTGGTAGAAGAGCTACTAGGAAGTACTTTGGCAGCCTTGTTAGAGGTTGTAATTAATGGTAATATATTTTGAGCTCTTTTATGATTGATACTAGTATTGGGTATGGTAATTTGGCCTGGATGTGTACTAGGTCTGGGTGTAGGGTGGGTAGTGGTGATAGTATCACTGGCGGTATTGGTTGGGGATGTAGTGATGGTTGGGTGGAGGTTTGTGTCTTTGTCTGTATTACTGTTTGTAGCTGTGCTTGTGTTTGTTTGGTTACTAGCTAGATCGTATAGTAGTACCAGTTCCTTGAGGGCTAAGGGGTGTGTTTGTGATCACTATTGCTTTTGTTGGACTCATTGTCAGATTCAATTTGTGTAATAGAGTTGTATGAGATTCTGGGCAGGTTAGAAATACCTTTAGTCTTAGTGTATAGTTTCATACTACCTTTGTAGGCCTGTATGGTTGTATTAAGGTTACAAGTGCAAGTTGATTTGGAAAATTTGGCACTAATGTTGACAATGTTGTTTTCTGTGTCATGAGGTCAAAAAGAACTAATTGGGTAATATTTTCATGTTTGCAGATCCATTGGGGAGGGTAATTTGCCAAATTTGGAATTCTTCCTAATTTGGTAATATCAATATAGAAGAGAAAGTCATTGGCGTGTTCTGGAATGGAGAAGCTAACTGCAAAGATGAGTTTGGACCAATCTTTAATAGTAATTTTGATAAAATTTTTTGTGTGTTCTGTTTCTGGGATTGGTGGTATAGTGCTAGATAGATTGTTACTAAGTTGTGCAAGTTTCAGAATGGGAAAAAATAGCTAAAGAAAGAATAGAAGCTTTCAGAAGTCATATTTTTGCTAGGGGCTGAGGTTTAGTAGTTTGGATATTGTAGTAGTTTTTGGTGTTTTTGTATAGCAGGTTGGTAGTACTTGAAGCGAGGCTGTTTAAATGTTGGCTATCCTTATAGCCACTTTCATGGGAGAATAGAAAAACTAGTTTTTTGTCTTTTGAAGAGTTTATTGCTATTTACTTGATGAGGAAGGAGCTTTTTAAAGAAAATGCATCTCTTTTAAGTACAACTAGAGAGCTTGAGTAATTTTACTTAAGAGCCAAATAACTATTTACTTAGTAAGTTTTTGAAATAATCTTGCAGAAAAGTTTTTCTTCTTGTTTCTATTTTGGTAAAAGTGATCTATATATAGGAAGAGTTTTATAGTATTATTCTTTTAAATTTTATTGTTTATAGATAACTAAGTATATTTATATAAATTTTATTCATATTAAATTTATTTCTTCTATTCAATAACTTTATTTTTATAAATCAATTTTAAATTGAATTTAATTAAAATATGTCTATAGTAAATGAGCCTGCTAATGATGAGTTGGAACTAGGTAAACTAGCCCCATAATGAGTTGAAACTAGATGAACTAGTTCCAGTATGATGGCTATCTGTAAACAGGTGGTTTATATTTGTTTGCCCCAGATACAATTGCATAAGCCTTTAAAGAATCTAAATTACTATCAAGTTGCCTTATCAGATATTTTCTATTTAACGCTTCACACCTACCTAAAATTTTGTAAATTTGATAGAATATGGAATTTGTATAGATACAGGTTGTGATGGTATGAGTTTTATAAATGAAAAAGATACTAAAAAAAAATAATTTAACATTATAAAAATTAAAAAATAAAGAATATATTCAAGAAGATGGTCTCAATAAAGTATTTATAAAATATTTTAGCAAAATACTTATTATATTTAATAATAATATCAAACTTCCAATCAACTTTAAAATTGGAAAAAATGCAATTGGATTAATCAGTTGTAATTTTTTAAAGAGATATAAAGTGGCAATAAATTTTCATACTGAAAAAATGAGTTTAATATACAATAATAAAATCATTAAAATTAAACTCATCATATAATTTTATTACATTTTTATTAAAAGATAAATTTTTATTGGGGCTAGTTTATCTAGTTCCAACTCATTATAGAGCTAGTTCACCTAGTTCTAACTCATCATGAGTGGCTCGTTTACTATAGACATACCTTAATTAAATTTAATTTAAAATTTTTCTTGAATAATATATTAAAATTTAAATTTTTATTTAATAAATTTAAATATTATCATATATCTAAATTAATCTTGCAAAAATCATAACAAAAATAATCTCATTATCTTTCAAAAAAATTTAGTAAAATAAATAATACTGTATATATATACAGAAAAATTATTTAAAAAATTTGAACAAACAACTACTGGGGCATCAATCGGCCACCCAGACTCTGGCCTTATTCAGTGGCAAAGTTTGCAAGCAAACTTTAAATTCTCTATGCACAATTGTTTATAGCATATTGAATTAATTGCTGTGCTATAGCGGTGATATGAAACTTGTTCTTATGTCGATATGTGGTACCTCTATGAATGTAGAGGCTCAGTTCTGGCCTCACTATGAATTGTTATAGTGAACATGTTTATATCATCTTCATGATTTTTTTTTGTTCATTGTTTGATTCTTGTTTTAAAAATAATTCTTTATTAAATCTTTCTTGATTACAGGTTAAAACTCAAACTCTAATTTATATTTTTTTTTTCTTGAACCTAATAATACTAATCTATCAGCCTCTTTATTGCCAACAATACCCGAATAGCCTTTTACAAATTTAAAATAGGTTTTTCTTTTATGTGATTTAATTAAATTGTTTATCTGATCTACCAAATCAAAATTTGTTTTAGGATTTCTAGTATTGCAGCAATTGATAACATAGACTGAGTTAGTATAAATAATAATATCAATATCAGATTATATGATATCTAATGCATGAATCACCATATAAATTTCTGCATGATTGTTTGTTTGTTTTCTTCTGGGTAACTTTCAGATAAATTACAAGAATCATTATTATTAAAAAAAAACCTAATAGATCTAACTACTTTATCAGTTCCATTCTTACTGCAATATTTATCAGTATAAATCTTAAGCTTATCAGATTCATCAATATTTTCTTCATTAATATAATCTTGGCTTATTGCTTTGTATAAAATTTTCTATACAAAGCACCAGAATAACCTTTAGTTTGTTCTTCACATTTCTTCCAGTTCATGTAAATTCCTGGGTTATAACCTCTACAAACTGCATAGTAACAAATTGTTGTTACTTTTGGTATTCTGGAATTATATTATAAATAATTCAAATAAATGAATTACAGTTATAAATACCAGGTAGAAACCAATATACCATGAAGTCACCGCATAGAAAAGTAGTAAGAGTTAATACAAAGTAAGAAAAAAAATAACCAAACAATGCATGGTTGAGCACCTTCTTACCTTAATAATTTTATATTCTTAAAAATGTATGTATTCTTTAAAAAGGCAAGTTTATATAGATTTTAAAATAGAGATATTGATAATGATGCTTAATCAATAATCATTTAGGCACTCATAATACAAACAAAAAAAGATTAAATATAAGAAAAAAAGAGGTACTATGATTAGTAAAACTGCAAAGAATAAGAAAAAACAAGACCAATCAAAGTAATAATTTGTCTGATGATTCGTTTACAACTCTTGGTTGCTAAAGAAAGGTGATTGCCAGTTTATTCATAGAAACTGGCAATCTTTAAAATTCAACTACTCTTGCTTGTATATAAATTTAATTTTCTTGATTCTATCATAAGTTACATCTTTTATCTCAATTTCACAAATTATTTGCGGATTGGGAAAGATTTTTATCACGGTGAGCAAGCGCAGTAGATTGGAAAGGATTTTCATCATGGTGAGCAAGCGCAGTAGATTGGGAAGGATTTTTATTATGATAAGCAAGTGCAGTAGATTGGAAAAAATTTCTATAATGGTGAGCAAGTGTGGCATTAAATCGTATAACACCAAACTGAGTTAAAGAGGTTTGAGACCAAACTTTACACAGATCACAGATTTTTAACCATTCTTCAGAATGTTTTCTAGCAAAATGTTGTTTAATAGCATAAATCTTGGGATTGATATAATTTTTTTTACAAAGTTTACATTTAATTCTTCCAAAAAGATAGGAATTAAAATGTGTAAAAATAGGATATTGTTTAGTCATTTTCACTAAACTTTATTCACTTGATATTATATTACTCAAAAAGGTAATTGCTGGTTTCATTCATAGAAACTGGCAATCAAAAATATTTATTATATGTTTAAATAAAACTAAAATTGGTTAAAAATTATGATATGTGAAAATAGTTAGAAATTACATATGGTAATTCAAATTAGATACAACTAATAACTGTGTATAAACTATTATCAATTATCTTAGAACTTGTTAATTTAAAATAGATTGATGAATTGAACTAGTTAAAGATAATATTTACAGTACAAGAGAAAAAGAAATACTAAAAAGTAAAACAGATAGTAATTCATGTTTGCACGAATCAGCTAATAGAAAGAGATGAGAAAGATCTTGCTTATTGTCTGCTCAATGTCCAAATGTGTAGTATCAAGCATCGTAGAAACCTTGGATACCTCTCTGATCAACTCAAATGATTCTTTGTCATAATGTAAACGATTAGCAAAAACTTGAAGAGGGTCTGCAGCGATCGTTTATGAGCTTGTATTTCAAGATCGGCTCTTAAAACCTCTTCATATCAGTATCAGGAAGAATTCTAATCATTGCATCATGGCCTGCAACCACATATTTCTTGCCAATAGTCATTTTTTGAATTATTATATTGATTGCATTCCGTAACTCCTCATTTCTAGATAACAAAGAAGCATGCTAGCCAGTTAAAAGTTTTGTCTCTTGATTATCATTTTGGTCAAATGTGTTTAGAATAGTTAGAGCATTAGGATTATTAATAAAGAAATCACAAAATAGAGCCAAGTTGTTTGTATTAACGATTTCATAATATTTGGCATAGTAGCAATAAAACAGACTACTATTAATAAAGTTATACTTGAGATGTTGAGCGAACTTCTGATCTATCGTAGATTTACTAGTGGCGGATAAACTTTCTATAGCGTAATTTACTGGTGAAACATTGCGCACATATAGTTACTAGAAAAAAATTCTGATCAGTGATAAACACTAATCAGATGTTTATTAGAATAATATCACTTTAGTTATAATTAATAAATTTAGACAATCTTTTAAATAAAATAATATAAGCATTTTAAAGTATAGAGGTTTAGAATATTCGGATCTGATCAAACTTACAAAGCTCGCATTGTATGTATAATTGATGAAAATGAAATAAGGTATGATAAAAAATGTGGGGATTAATGATACGACATTGATTTCTGAATCTACACTGGGCATCTGAGGAAAATTTTCTTTGAAAAACTATACAGTAGGCTAGTTGGTTGCAATTCAAGCACTTGCTCTTCCCATAAGTTGCAAATTTATTTGCAAGAATGAAATGAAGATTTAGCAAGTTCCTGACCTTGTTATTAAACTAGTAGTAAACAGAATTTTTCTCTATAAATGAAAATAGCTTGCATCTTGTCCATTTGCCATTGCTGTTAAATTAAATTGAAATAAAGTAGTTTTTGGTATTCTTGCTAAATTTTATTTAATAGAGACATAGAGATGAGTTATCTTTCTGATAGGAAGATAGGAGTTTTTGCTACGTTCTTCAATTATACAATACTTTTGTTTCTTAATGATTGCATAGTAAAAAACATGCTATAAACTGTTCACAAACTTTAATTGTTGGAACTTGTAAAATTCCTTATTAAAAATAATTGGTGGAGCAATCATAGAGAAAATGATACTAATTAATTCAAACAAGAAGTTGTTTATTCTTTTTTGTTAAAATTAATAGAAAATGTGCTCTTTGATAAAAGTTGTGGAGAGTTTAGAATTACATGTTTTAACAATTTTAGTGATCATAATAATACCACAGTCAATCAGATGTCTGCCTTCAATAGTGTAGATTAGATTATGTTAATAGCTAGCTTGATCTTGTTTAATAGTAGCATGATTCAAACAAATTTTTAACAGATTGCTAAAAGTATCAACATCAAATTCGTTAGTAGTCTTGAGATAGTTAATAAGCAAATTCGATTGCTGGTTTTGTTTATAGAAACTAGCAATCTCGATATAATCTTTGATGTTTATAATATTATGATCAAAACAGATATATTGGAATATTATTTTTATTTGTTCGAATAGCATGCATTTATATATTAAAATAATAATAATGCTTACTAAGCAGAAATTTCTTTTAAATTAAAATATATGTGATGAAATTAACTAATATTTTAATATATAAATTAATTTATTGTAAAATTAAATTTCGAGCCAATATTTTGGCTATGCTATTTATATTTACAACTATTGTTAGTAATATGGCTAGCTGTGGTGGTTGAAGCCTGAAGAGATGGTATAGTTGAATCGCACAGTCATTTCTGTAGAAAAGTTTGGTAGCAGGAATTGCAAAGCCTATAAAAATGGGCCAAGGAGTAGGTAAAGAGATTCATCTCAACTGTCACTCAAACAAAGAGCAATTGAGCATGCCACAACCATTGAATACTGATGACATGGTGCAGAATGCCATTGCATGACATCTCTTACAATGTTTCTTCCCAACATCTTGACGTTGCATACAGATCAATCGCTCAGATTTGTTATAAAGTGAGGTGCAATAGTAATTAAGTGATAGTGAATGTGAGATTTGCTTTTTCACACTTGAATATTTGCATATGTTTCTTTTGAGTTAACTCAGACAGCAGTGATTGCACAAATTGTTTCTATTACAAGCATTTCTCTTGCCTAAAAAAACACATTCAGAACATGCTAGGTTTTTGAATTTTACATATAAGGGTTTCTGAGACTATTTGCTGATTGTTAAGGTGTTAAACTTGAAAAAGTATAGATTATAATGCTTGAGATTCCTAGTGCTAAGCCAAATATCACGAGTTGGTTTGGGAAATATATACTGGCTAAAAATGCTACAAACATGCCAGCAAGTGATAGCAAAATTAAGAATATCAAGATTGATAAAATGATTAAAGATGTTGGAATAAATTTTGTAGGGAACACAATTCATCTTCTTAAAAAATATATGCTAATATAATGGTAGTCAAAGAAGAAACAATATAATAAATTAATTCTTGTAAATCCCAGCAATAGATAAATAATGTTAAATTCGGGTGTCATTTATCTGATGCAAAAATTATTTTACGCTGCTTAAATGGCTTGCAATATGGTAGCAGTTAAAGCAAAAAAGACGAAGAGGAGTTCTTTTTAAAGCACTTATCACATATCTAGTGGTAGTAGCTATGGCCAATCACAGAAGAGCATTTAATCGCCTTGCAAGTAGTATGAGAGACTATGTAAACTTGCTCAGACGAGTATGTGGTACACAAACAGAAATTATGGGTTTTTACAAATAGATTTTTTAATTCGAGTAAAGTGCTTTAAAAGACAAAATTTCTGTATAGTTTCAAGGGATTTCAGCAGTAAATCATGTTGTTGGCTATTAGAATTTTTTTCTTGAAGATTTTTTATTTAAGTAAAATATTATTCAGTTGCTATAGGTGTCTAGATCAAATCTAAAAACTTTAGCAGTGTGGTATCTGGAGTAAAAGTAGAAGATATGTTTTTCCAGATTCAAATAGATTTGATAGAACAATCTGTTAAAAAATTTAGAGGCTGAGCGAATGCTATGCATCTTATACAAGCTGAAATGTGAGAAAATCATAAACCAAATTTTGGTAGAAAAAATCATAATAGTAGTCATCATTATTATATGTAAAATAGCATGAATAATAAATCATAGATTACTATTCGTGCTTAGAATTAGATTTCAATCTATATTAATAAAAAAATAATAAAACATCTATTCACTATAAGATACTATATACCAAGAATTTCATTGATTGAGTTGTATATAATCGATTGATTTTGCAATCAGGATTTCTTTGGAGAGAAGTAATAGTCTATTCTAGAGCGTTTATTTGTTGGTGGTGTGCTGTTTTTGAATTTTCATTTCTGCAGGAAATATTCATTTGTAATGGTTAAGTCCAAGGAGAGGTTGTTGTTTAATCTTGATTGCTTATGATAATCAGAAATAGTCTTGTAAAAAGAGATGATTATCTTCTCAGCCTTTGCGATATCACAAGCAAAAAAGCTAGCACAGAAATCCTTGAGACTCTTAAAGTAGTAGAAAATATCTATCTTCTACCTGCCCAATAAATTGTACTCAGATATCAAAAATATCTTCTGACTTATATTCACGCCTATATCTGGATACTCAATTATGTAGTAGTAGAATCGACCAGGTATCACTTCTTTCCCCTGTGCATTATGATTCACTATAAAATCTATGATCATCTTGTTTCCTCCTTGTTGTATAGACTGTTTGCTATTGAAAAAGTCTACCATGCTAAAAGTAGCTTTCTAGGGTTATATTTTTTATTTAAGGTAAAAATGCTAAAATCCTGGTACTTGGTTCTGATATATTTCGCTATCACGTTGAACATGATATTTTTGGAGTCTTGGTAAGCATGGGATATCTCACGATTGGAGTTGTAGCCCAGGATTGTCCAGATTATTTTTTTACTAATTGTCTTGTAGAATTTGGTCACATTGCATTTGACCAACTTCAGCCTCTTCACATAAAGCTTAGGCTTGTTCAATTTAGAGTAAGCCTCATGAATTATACTGCCATATTGCTTCTTTTGAAAAAATCATGAAGGGTATAGTATCTTCTCATAGGAGAATTTGATACTATGTTTATATTCAGATATTAGAAAATTGTTTACCAGATACTTAAGCTTCCCGAAATAGTCAATGTTTGTTGATCTTTTCATTCCAACACAATCGCTTAATCTTTTTTTTTTTTTAAATATTAAGGTGACCACTTAGGTCCCTGGCATGTAGCTTTATTTAGATAATTATGATATTACATCAATTTCACGAGAATACAACTAGCTATACATGTACTTTAGGTACCTAATTTAAGTAGACCGTTTGGGTTCTACACTAGTCACCATACCTGCAACCTAACTAGAAGATTATCTATTTAAGCCCTCTGATTATTTAACTAATAAGAGTATGACTAGCTATACATGCAACTTTTGGTTACCTATTTAAGTAGTTTGCCTAGGTTCCACACTAGCTGCCGTACCTGCACCCAACTATGGGGGATACCCATTTAAATCCTCTGGCTCTATTTCTGTAACACGCTTACTCTAACACTCTTAATAAGATTAATAATACCGTGTGAGGATCCTAAGACTTTAGCTATATAGGCATTTATTCTTATAGTAAACCTAACAGAATGGTACATGTCTTACACATGTACTCACCTGCATGTTTGGTAACTTTCTCCAACTAGTACATGTTGTGCTACCGCTACTGGGTCTGTATCTCAAGCTATCGTTTCAGATACTGCTGTAACCCGATTCGTATCTCAAGCTACAACCTTTCTAATTAGTTCCCACTTACGTACTCCTGCCCTTGCAAGGTTTACAACAACCCCAGTACCCATGTTTCAACTTTCTTCTTTCCTGGATTCCTTCTCTTACTTCCAGCTGGCAACCCGAAAGGGTTGGTCTGCCCAGGCTCTAGGTGTCTTACGGTCTCCCTCCCCTTAGTACATGCTTCCGGAGCACAAGTCCTTTTCCTCCAGGACAAGCTGGCGGTTTGGCTGGTGTGTTCTCCCACTTAAAAACCTGGTCGCTCAGTTCTCCAGACTCAGTTTCCAGTTCCAAATTCAGTTTTCCTGTAGTATCATCAAAGATTACTGCTACTCCTAACTCAGGACTTGCCAAACAGGTTTTCAGTAATTCCAGTTTCCTGGATTTATTACACCAAAGCTCCCATTCGAGATAGTGTGACCAAGATTACAGATATCTGGATCCAACTGATAATTTTAACATTAACCAATACAGGTCTAGTTTTTTCAAAATCGTAGTCTGTAGGATTCGAACTCTAGACCTGCCGTTTGGGGGTGTGACAACTTCACCACTTCACTAAATCACCGCACTACTTAATCTTTGAGGTTATTAAAGAAGAAGTTTAATGGCACATAAAATATTTCAATTTTATGTGATTTAAAGTTGTCTTGGAAAGGGTAAAAAAGAACGAATCAATGTCATCATAAGCCATATGTATTCTCTGAGATTTGACAAATTCGATCACCTGATGCAAGGTAGATCTACAAAAAGTGATGACTGATAGGGCAACTCAGAGATTGTAGAGAGAGGAGTAGATGTAGCTGGTAGTGCTATATATCGAGTTGGTAATTAGCTTTAAAGCATTAAAGAGCACTATGTAATAAGCAAGAGAGACCACATTCTCACTATTTTTGATCTTTTTCTTGGCAACTAAACATTCTTCTAATAATTTTTTGCATATCAGAGCCATCAATCTCATGTTCTTCTCAATGTCATAATGAGGCAGAAATTTACTATAAATCTTCCCACGATCCTCGACAATGTTATAAGTGAGATTATTGGAGTTGATATCTACACAGTATCATTAGATATGTTGTTCTGTATTATGGCAGATGGGTAGTAGGAATTCACATCAAAATTGGCAACAGGCTCAGGCTCATCCAAAAGTGAAGAACTATTCTCGAAGATGTTGTTTATTTCAAGCACCAATGCACCCTCATATTTTGATCTAAGCTCAATGATACCCTTATATGTTATTGAGAATAGTTTGTCATAACAGGCCATATAGCGACCATAGAAATTTGTAATATCAGTGCCAATAGCATTGGTGAAGATATTTGATATAGTGAGGCTGGATAGCTTGGTAATTTGGTATAGTCTCCTATCATATTTCATTTGATCATGAGCTTCTGCAAATGAAGAGAGTCAATCAAGCAATAGTAAGTAAGTGAAGTAGCATATTCTTTAAGTGTTTTTTCATCTGGGTTTAAAGCTTGGATACAAGATTTATAAGGTATCTTGCAAAGCTTTGATAACTCCAGGGCAGATTCTGGTTTGTTTATACCTATTATTGCTGTAATATAGATATACATCGACTGAAAATTATTAGACAATTCGTCTGGAATGTGAGGAAAGTCTATCTTTCCATCAAGACTACATTTTTTCAACATGTGATTGAAAGTGTGCTTGATCTCAGCTTGGAATGCCTTACAAGCCCATACCAAAAGATCAATAAAAATGGTTTCCTGAGTGTAGAAATATTCACATGTTATTTGCTCCATTGGGTTGACCTTTATATCATGATTGTTTAAGTTCAGGCTAGCATACTGGACCTTTTGAGTTTCAGGATCTCAGTTTGTTACTCAAATATCAATTTTACGAATATTGACAAAGTGTGTAGATTTTGTGCCAATAATATTTTCAATGAACTGATTATCAATACCCAATGCTTAAGCTTTTATCAACAGAAATCACTAATCGAAACCACCAGTGTTGTAGCCAAGATCAATATCAGGCTCATATTGCCTGTACAGCTTTGAAAATTTCAACAAAAGTTGTTCTTGAGTGTCAAGTTTTACAAACGAAAAATTTGTTGACAAACATGATATCTTATCAGAGTAGAGAGAAAAAAATGGTGATTCATTGATATCCAAGAAGTATAGATTGTATCGTCGAAAAGAGCTAAGTTGGTTCAACAGAAATATGTCAAGCTGAATTATATAAACATAATCATTATCTTTGTCAGGTACTAGAAAATAACCCAGATCACAATTGCTTGCACATTCTATATCCCAAGAGAGTATGAATAATTTTGGTATCTCTGTACTACTAACAGGTTCATTGTTAGAAAATTCAATGGTCATTTGATTTTTCAAGCTAGCCATGTTTTAAACAATACCAACTAACCAATTCAAAATTATATTCTTGTACTATCTTTTAATAATAACAAGTATAATCATCGAAATAGGTGTCATACCAATCCCAGAATTTAGATATTATTTAATAAAGCAATTTTTCTTTCACCTCTAATCTCTTTATATCTGTTTTTTGTTTTGATGATTTTTTTTTTATTTATTAATATTATCTTGCTGCTTGTTCAATTTACCCAGTTGTTTTTTTATAATTTTCAGAGCCTTCTTACACTTATGATGTTTAGAAAAGTAGAGCTAAACAAAATTATGCCATGAGGTGGAGTCAAATAGTTGCTTGTTTATGATTTCATAACCATCAGGATTAAACTCATCAATATACAAGTTTAACATAGTAGGATTCTTAAGCTTGATATCAAAAAAGATATTACTCTCATTTATATCTATAAAGATCTTTTTATTATTTGATAAAACTGAATACAATCGAAAAAGATAGCCCATATCACTCATAGCATCAATTGCCTCATAAACAAAAAATAAATTTGGATTAGTCAGCTTATAGTTTTGAGTTAACTTTTGGTGTGATGACATATTGTATTTACACAGTTAAAATCTTATTTAGTATTATGAAATACTGAATAAGATTTTATTTCTTTTTTAATAATAATGCTATAGAAATTACTGGGGCATCAATCGGCCACCCCAGACCCCAGCCTCATTCGGTGGCAAAGTTTGCAAGCAAACTTTGAATTCTCTATATACAATTGCTTTTAGCATATTGAATTGATTGCTGTGCTATAGTGGTGATGCGAAACTTGTTTTTACGTTAATACATGGTGCCTTCTATGAATATAAAGGCTCAGTTCTGGCCTTGCCACAAATTGTTATAGTGAACACATTTATATCACCTTCATAATTTTTTTTTGTTCATGGTTTAATTCTTGTTTTAAAAATAATTCTTTATTGAATCTTTCTTGATTACAGGTCGAAACTCAAACTCTAATTTATATTTTTTCTTCTTGGTTCTAAATTATTTGCTAATATTTGAATTAGAACTGTTATCTGATGTGGTAAATTAGCTAGATCAAGTTGAACTCCTGTTCTAGCTGAAGCTATTCATTGACCACCATCTCTATGTATTTGAAAGTGAGTATCAACACATGGGAGTTGATCAGTTGAAATGACATACTCAATATCTGAGCATAATATTCATCGGGAAAGACGTGTTTGAGTAATTCGATATACTTCTTGAATTTGTAATTTAGGCAGGCTGAAAAAGTAAAATTCAAGATATTAATCAGTACCTGCATAAATTCGGCCCTCTTGATTGGATTGTTTGCAGTGAGTTGTATGATTTTTGTGTTTCTATAAAAATATTTATTATTGATTTTTTCTCTTATCACTTGAATCTTATCATCCTCGTAACAAGTATTTATATTGATTATGGTTATGCAAATAAAATTTTATTCGGTTAAAAAAAAACCTAAATAATGATAAAGTACATTTTAGGAAAAACTAAATAAGCTGCTCAAAGAAAAGCTGGTAATGGTTATGCAAGTTCACAATTACTTTAAGTTTATCTGAATCTAGATTACAATTTGAGTCAAAAACTAACCATTCCGAATATAGCTCAGACACCATATAGTCATACTCCTCCCAAATTCTTTTTATGTATTTCTGAGAATAATTCTTATCCTCATGCATGCACTTCTGTTGATGTTTGACACAAGTTTCTGAATTGCAGCAAACATGAATATAGTGGTTGGCCTTGAGGAAAGGTATCAAGATATTTTTCTTTTTAAGATACTCGAGCTAGAGTTAATACCTCTATCCAGATTTATATATCTGGATATATACTATGTCATGTGATATAACGTGACATAATGTTTTTAAATCCGGATATAAATACATCCAGATTTGAGTTTAAATCCGGATTTATACTATGATAAACCCGGATTAATCCGTATATAAAAAATATATCTGAATTGAGGTATTAACTCTAACTCGAGCTTCAATGGATCATCAATGTTGATGTCGGTGAAGATCTTGGTGTCCAGATTAGTTCGTTTGATTATTAAGACATCGAAATAGTCACATATTTGCTCAATTATACTTATTTTTTTGAAGAAAGTGTTGGTAATAATATCCTGAAAGTGAAAAGCATACTTCTTCAGATTCAAATTGAACAGCTTGAAGTCATCCTGAAGCTCCAAGAAGATCTCTGTAGGGAAGAAGACTAAAAGGCCTTGATTCTTGCAATACTCACTGAACATGGTAGAGAAGCAGGACTTGCCCACCCCTACCTCTCCAAACACAACCACAACCTTACCAAGCTTCTTGGATCCAAATGTAAGTTAGTTGTTAGGTTCAGCAATAAAGTTTTTGTATTTAATTCTTGATGTTTGCTTTTTGTCGCTATATTTCTTCTCTTCCAGAGTTGAAAGATCTGCTAAATTGATAATCTCATTATCATCAAGTTTCTTTTGTTTTTTCTCAAATAAATCAATGATGATTTTTGATGTTTTATCATTGCTATCTTGTTTTTGTTTTTTATTAGAAGTGTTTAAAGAATCAGAATTTTTTCTATTGGGGGTTTCCTTTTCCTTTCTCTTGTTCTCTTTTGAGATTCTAAAATTGATACTTTTCTGCTGTTTCAAAATTTTCTTCATATTAGTATTGACACATCGATTGAAAATTTCTTCTAGTGCTTTTTCTCTCAAATCATAATTATTATTTATATCTTGGCTTATATCTCAGCTGTTCATATTGGATGTTGATGCATTAAAAGATCTGCTTGGTGCATAATAATACACTGAGCAGATTTAATATAGACGAAATTGATATCCTTATTTATTACAATCTTTTCTATGTTTATATTATCCCCTTTCATCCCAAACATATCTAACGATTAATTTGACAATCAAATATTGATGAAGCTTACTATCTACTTATAACCATAAAAATCATCAAATGCAGCACCTACACAGATAGCTAGCAATATGATAAAGAAAAAACAACACCAATTCTCCATTCATTCATACGGGTGATAGTTATTTTCAAAAAAAAAATAAGCACCTAAACACAATGATTCATGAACTTGGTCTTCCGACATTGTTTATAACATTGTCGAAGGCTGAAGGTTTGTGGACTCATCTTCATAATATACTTATCAATACAAACAACTACGATCTATTACCAACAAACAGACCACTACGCACAACCCTTTATTTTATTCACAGACTTAAAAATATTAAAAAGTCTATCTGGAAAAATCCAGAAATTAGCGAGTGGTGAACTTATTCCTATTTTTTTGACAGAATAGAGTTTCAAAATCATGGAGCAGCACATCTTCATAGAGTCTACTGGACAACTACAAGCATATTAGAAATGATAAATTTAAATACCATACAATCCACCCTCCCAGATCCTAATTTAGAACCCAAACTTTATCAAAGAGTTCTTATCTTTCAAACACATACTTGTAACTTTACATGTGAAGAACCAGCACCACCAGGATTAACATGTAAAAAAGGATTTCACACCAACTTTCTGAATATATTCTACAATCCAAATAATTACAAGTATACATATTGATGTCTAACACCAGAAGACCAATGGATAGTTCCATATTATGCTTCTACACTTATATTATGAAATGCTCATATAAACATCCAATATATCACAAATAAAGGACTTGCCTATTATATAACAAAATATATCAGCAAATCAGAACCAACCCACCTTTTCAATATACAAGAACAATCACACTATCGAGAGT